TATGGTCCCATCCTCTGGAGAGCAACTTCTCAAGCTTTCTCCTAAGCTTGAGAGACAGCAGGAGGTTGGAGGGACCCAAATGCAGTCCCTTCAACACAGACTCTTTACTGCTTCTCTCCTACAGGCCCAGCAACCACTGGGAATAGAAGACAAGGATGACAGCCAGTCCAGCCAAGATGAGCTGCAGAGCAAGCAGTCCAAAGGCTTGGAGAGGTACCATAGGTGGGAGGCTATCCCCACGGGTGTGCCTTCAGGGTGGTGTGGACTTGGGCAGAATTCTTGGCTTTGGTGGCTGGCCTGGCTCAGTGTATACTTGCTTGGCAGCAGGTGATGAACTGGCTGGATGGCCTTGCAGGGTCTGTGTGTGCACATACGTGTGTATATGTATGTGCGCGTGTGTGTACTGGCAATGTGTATATATGTTTGCATGCATGAGCAGACCCTCTGATTCTCCACCAAGATGGGAATGTGAAGTGCCACTGGGTGCATTTGGCAGGACTCCAGGCACTATTGTGGGGCCAGGGCTGATTAAGCTGTGTGTGTGCCTGTTATGGGCCAGGGCTGAAGAAACCTTGTGGAGGTCTGGAGGAGTCACATTGGAGGGTTGGTACTGCAACTCAGAGCTCTGAGCCAGGGCCCTGCCACATCAGAAATGGCTGCAGCTATCTGTGAGTGTGCAACTGTGTGTGATGTGACAGGGGCTCTCAGCTTCTCAGGCCTGAGCCCCATGACAAGCGCTGCCACCCTAGAAGGGGAAGGAGAATGGTCATTTCACTTTTAGACCCTCAAAACCTATCCATGACAGCTTCGTGCATTTTCTAGTCTGACCTCTTGAGTCTGGCTTCTCTTTTTCTCCCCACTTAGTTCTTCCACCCCTTCCTGGCCCCAGCGATGGGGAGCTCTGGGGATGGGCACACTTGTGAGTGTGTCCTGCTCTGATTCCTGAACCAAGCAGAGGCAGCATAGGGACCCCTGTGGAGCCTGACTCCAGTCTAGGCAAAAGGAGGGCTCAGGAGGGAGTCACTCCTTCCCACATGTGTGGCTGCCTTGCCCTGCTGTGGCTCTCCATAGATGGATGTGGGGACGGGGCTGGAGCATAACCCAGGAGGAGGCAATGACCTAGGTCCACGCACTGTATTCCCCAGTTCTCTTCCCGCTCTCCAAATGGAGGGACCTGACTCCGCTGCTCTGCCTGGCCTGACCAGGTTATCTCCTCCACTTCCACATGAGGAGCGGGCCCAGAGTCCCCCTCGAAGCCTGGCCACCGAAGAAGAGCCCCCGCAGGGCCCCGAGAGGCAGCCCGAGTGGAAGGAGGCAGAGAAGCCTGGGGAGGACTCTGCAGCCAGCCTCAGCCCGCAGCTCTCCCTCCAGAGGTAAGGATGAGGGGAAGCACCCCCGGGTGGCGGCCGCTCTGTGTGTAGTGGGTATGTGTGCTAGTGCTGAGAGAGATGGGGCTGGGGTTGGCTTGGGGAGGGAGTGGGGAGCTGGGGCGGGTTTGTAGCCTCAGCAGCAGCAGCAGCAGCAGCAGCAGAGGCTCTGCTTAGTGTCCCATGGGAGCTGGATATGAGGACATGTGCCTCCTCCTAGTCCTCAGTCTGCAGCTGAAATGAGGGTATGTGGTCTGATTAGAGGAACTTAGAAACTCTTGAATAAGGAGGTGTCTCTTTTGTCCCAAGTGTCTACCTGCAAGGGGCTGGAGCAGAGACTGGTGTCACCCTGGCTGCTCCATTCCTGCCAGGAAGCCCTTTCTCTAGTCCCCTCCCTGCCAGCACCCCTGTTTCCAATAGTCATCCTATTTCTAGTCATTCAGCAGCCCCAGCTGGAGCCCTGTTATGTGCTCGGCCCAGAGAGAGGGAAGCCCAGATCACTCGGAGTCCAGCTGAGAGGACCTTTTTTTCCTAGCCTAGTCCAGAGCATGGTGGACATTTGTTAGTTCTCTGTCCCCCTAGCAAGAGAAACATGCTGGTCTTAGAATTTATTGGGTTGGAATGAATCACTAGGGAACCTGAGCAGCATC